CGACGAATATAAGAGATACAATAAAGTAACACCTAGATACTATCGTTGGAGTATATAATACATCACTGTGTCTCTGTTTTCTGTTCCTCTCTTCCATTTGTGGAAACAGTTACTTTGTTCTCATCTTTCTCTCTCACCTCCTCTTCCACCTCTGTCTCTGTTGTATACAGTTTTACTCCCTAAATAATTGTCAATAATCTTTAATGTATTAAGCGGAACCTTCTGGTAACATTCTTAATGGTCTGGTTGTGAAAGCATCCATCTCTGTGTTGGAAAAACAAGATGGAGTCCAAAGCAGATCCCTGATGGACCCGTCTGAGTGTCGCTCTGCGTGTTTCTGGAGCAGAATGAATGTTGGATGGATGGTGGTGAGAACAATAGAAGGGCCCAGCAGACAGCGGGGGCCCCCAGAAGGGCCCAGCAGTACCAGGCTTTTCCCCGGGGCCCAGACCGGACCGCCTGCCCTGGAAGCTGCCACCAGTCCCAGCCGTCCTTCAGGATGAACTCTGGTGATTCTTGGAGTTCCTCTGCCCATCAGGATGCTGGGATAACAGAACCATCTGGGAGTCTGTCTGATGCCGACCCGCCTGTCAGGAGAACAAACACTTCCTGCATTAAAATCCTGAATATTTGTGGCTTTCCTTGACTGTGAAACAGAATCATTAGAACAAACAGAACTCTGACCCAGAATAATCATCTATATTTTAAATCACAGCAAAACCTTTTCCTCCAGTGTTTGACCCTCAGGGAGAGGCAGAACCGGGGATCTGGGGGCCTTTCCAAACCCAAACATCCGGCTCTCCAACCGGCGGGCGGCCATTCCGACTTTACGCAGCCGGGAGCAGAAACACATCAGATCTCTGAGACGCTGGGCTGGTTTTTAGGAACAGAAACTCTGAATGTGGATCTTCAGAGTGAGGATGGCTGCAGCCGGATCAGGGAGTGGTTTGTGAGTTCTGTGGCCACTAGGGGGCGCATTAGCCTGAGGAAGTTCTTGGTTTGTGGTAAAGAGACAGAAATGGTGCAGCTCCCACTCAGCAGCCAGAAACAGAGGAAAACTTGGTCCTCTGAAGCTCAAAGCTGCTGAATGTCCTGAAACACAGACTGCAGGAGGAACCAGGCTTTGGTTTGGATCATTTCTGGATCAACTGATGAATTTCCTGCAGGATAACTGGAGTATAAAGACTTTAATATATTTATAACCCTTTCTGCTCAGTCTTTCCATATTTTATTTTTCTGACCTCACACGAGAAGTTTCCCACAATCCCCAGTGAGCGCCAGCTCTCAGCCAGTCTAAATACCCGCCTCTATCTCCGGCTGCCAGCTGTGAATTATAACCTTCACACTCTGGGGAACACAAAGTGACGATTGTGATTGTGTTTTAATTGTGACGCTGGGCTAAAAACGATGGCTTCCTCTGAGAAAAGGACAGATTTATGGGGCCCGTCCTGGCCCAAGGCCCCACATCCTCTCTGATCTGCTTTTACTCCAGCGACCCCGCGACCCTCGGGGGTCGTTAGCGAGTCCCCCGAATGGTGCGACTGGCCGGCAGCCCATTTTATGCCGCTTGTTTTCCAATCAAATCACTATATTTAACGGGGACACGAGCCCAGGGCCAAGACCAAACGGACATCTGTTTGAAATTGGTCCTCGCAATTATTTCACACAGAAGCCCTCCCGTTGCCCCCCCTCGTGCTCCTTGCCCCACTTTGGTCTTTTGTTTGTTGTTGTTTGTTTTGAGCGCCCCCTCCCTCGTTGGACTGCTAATGGACAGAAACGAGCAGTGGAAGTGGGGGTTTGGGGCTTGCCAAGGGTCTGGCTCTTATAACCGCTGTCACACAGATATGCAGGCAGCAGAAAGCAGCGAGGCCTTTGTGATTCGGCACAAAGCAGGTTTTTAGTCCGAGCGGGGGCCAGTTTTTACTCGGCGGGACTCTGAACTGCTGCCAGAACCGATGACGTCTTCATCGGCGGGGTCAGTGAGCTGCTGTCATACCTGGAGGCAGATCCGGGAACTTTCCATGCTTGCAGCAGGCCTGCTGAGGACCTTTCTGAAGAATGTGGCTGAAGCTCAGTTTAAAGACAACCTGTTTGGTCAGGGTCCGGATATTGAAACATGTACTATTAGAACCATAGAAATACAGTCCTGACGGTCTTATCTCCGGTCCAGAGTTCTGGTTCCTCTCTGATGCCCTCGGTCAGGGTTTGGTTGAGGTTTTGAGGACCCAAACGCAGAGAGGAGGGGGCAAAGGTGAGTTTTTGTAGTTTTAATTGAGTACTTAACTGAAGCAGGAATCAAAAAATCCAGCATGATAAGTACAAAAACCAGAACCTTGGAGACATCAGGAAAAAACGTGCATGAAGAGGGAGGAAAAGACGAGGAAGCAGCACTGAGGAACTGCAGGGGAGAGTATATATGGGAGACAGAACAAAGACGGGACTAATGAGCTGATTGGGAGCAGGTGGGAACAGAGGAGTCTAGAAGGAGCTACGGAAAATGAGACCAACACAAGAGGGCAACAAAGAAAAAACTAAGAACTCAAATACATCCAGAAAACACAACAAAATAGGAATTAAACCAATAAAACTAGAAAACAAAGAAAAACATGGATGAAAGTGAAACTGAAAACTCAAAGAATAATTAACAGAAGCAAAACCATGATGCTCTCTGGAGGAAGGTGGATCCATCTGTGATGAGACTCCTCCCACAAAGCTCCAGGAGAGCTTAACAAACTCTATCCAAATTTACAGCAAACCAAAACTATTGAACCAATGTTCTGATTTAACCTTTTGTTTATCTAGGGCGCTCTGAACCTGCAGTTGTCTAGGGCCCAAAGTTCCTGAGGGCCCCATAAAACTGTTTCCATGTATGGTTAATAAAACTATTCCGTATTTCTGCACATTAATTATGTTTCTGATAAAAATCCTTTGGCTAAAATGCCATCAGAACGCTGATAATATTAAGTGTGTCTCAGCC